TATCCAGGTTGATGGAGGGGCATTTACACAGGCCCCTAACACAACTCCAGGCCAGTGAACTCCCATTAGAAACCACAGGGATCAGGCAACATCTCTTCCCTTCTGCTGTTGACGTCGTGGGGCTGCGCGAGCACCAGAACCAGCCAACCTCAGGGACTGGTGGTGGGAACGATGACGCGAGGCTCCTCACGGCTTCTTCTGTCACAACCCATGTGCTTTTGTCTCAACAAACGCCCATGATTCTCCAGAAGGAAATAAGTTTGGTACCAGCGGGAACATGGGCAGGTGGTATCTTCACATACAAGTTAACAACGGACTTCCCTTCCCAAGACAGAGAGCTTCAATTCCATAGTCTACAAATTGCCTTTTTCCAACTTCTGTGTGAGAGCCTGACAAAAGCGGGTGTCTCTGCTCAGCAGGGAACCCCTGCAGACACTCTGGCTGAGAGTGGCCGCTCTTTATCACTATGTAACAAAATCCCTATCACTGCCCCTCCCTGGAGCCAGCTCTCACACACCTTTGCCACAAGGCAACCAGAGGAAGATGCTATGGCCAACTCTACCAGCACGGCACTTGCGGGGAACCTTGCAGCCTTCAGGGAACAAAGCAAGGGTGCACAGCCAAAATCAAGCATGTTCCAAGCCAACCACATCCTCCTCTCGCTTCAAGCAACCTCATCAAGCCCAGCCTTGAAGATGGATGGCCAATGAGCGCTGAAGATCGTGTCAGCAACAGCAGAAAACCATCCTGTAGATACAGTGTTCCCACACCGCAGTCATGAGGTTTCCAAAATCACCCTCCAGTGATTTTGGCTCCCTTCCAATTAGCTAGACACTACCACAACCCCCGCAGGTAAAAATGAACAACCATTTGGCTTCCCTTAGGCTCAAATCCTGCAGGTCAGACTTAGTTGTTCTAATGGTTCCTGGCGAGTTACCAATCAGCTGTGGTGCTGAACGTCCCCTCCAGCTTCCCATCAGCTGAACAGCATCTGCAGCAACAAGTCCCAGGGCGCCAGGTTCATCTGCTCTGAAGAGATCGGTGCAGCAGCTGCCTCTCTCTGTCCCTGGCTCTTCTGGAACATCTGCCATCTGTCCCCACTGTAAATGTTTGTAGCTGTGTTGTGATTCACGACCACGCACAGGAATGTGCAATGAGGCCACTGGCAACACAGCACTGCTACACGGTGAGATGGTGACAGCACCACCACCGCACTCGGTATTTACTATTCTTTCCAGGGCTTAGACTCCCTTTGGGACCTTGGCTACAGAGGATTATAACATCAAAGTTAGAAGGAAAACACTGCTGGGAATTCAGGATCACATTGTCCGATTACAGCTTGACGCAACATAAAATAGAGTGTGACAGCTCAGAGTCAAGGAAGAGGAGCTTCAGAAGTCCCCCTGCCTGTGAAAAAATCCACTTTCAAAGTGTTTTTTTTTTTTAAATCTGCCTGGATTTAACAGGCCTGATTCACCTCAGTTACATCAGGCGGCTCCATGGAGAGCTGACAGCTTGGGAGGAGAAGAGGGTCACAGCTTGGGATCCCAGTTCTCATTCATGAGGCAGAGCCTGCCCCAGTTTGAAGGCACACGGGGGCCCAACCGTGGGTATAAACTACCTCGCTGTCCACGCAGGGCTGACAGCACAAAACTGGGCATCAGGCTGCGATCTCCACGTCTCGTCTTCATGAGCAGCTGATGGCAGATTAGTGGGACACGTGGCAGACGGTCAAAGCAAAGCTACGACAGAATGAAAGGCAAGGTACATACATCTGCCTGTGGGAGAATACCAGCTATATAAATACTGCAAGCAGATCCTGTGGGGAGAATCATGCTTTTAATCGGTTTGGTGCATTTGCCTGTATGGCAAAGTGACCTCAGATCTGACAAAAGGAGGATGGAGGGAGAAAAGGAGAGGAATCTTTGCACGGACGGGATAACAAGAGTGAAACGCTCTTCAGTGTTCACGAACAAACAGACAGAAAGACACAAGGTGAGTGAGATCATATCGGCGTTTCTCATTTCCATTTCAGGCCAGAATGAAGTCTTAGTTCTCGAGGCACTATCGACAACGCACAGAGAATCACATGCTGAACTGCAGAGCTTCCCGGTGTCCATCAAAGTGCCCTTATTGTTGAGGAGAAAAAAGAAAGAAACGTCGTAGGAGGACAGCTCGCTCACAGGAGCAGGGAGAAAACGGTGCCAGGTTGTACGTCGGGAATCTTCTGAGGCTGCTCCCTGCTACAGGGGTGACCCTCCTCACGTGCTGATGTCTGCTAGCTGAGACTGCTATTTTACTACTCAGTAAAAAAAAGGGGAAACGGGAAAAGGGAAAAGCGAAAGGGGAAAAGGGAAAGGGAAAAGGGAAAGGTGAAAGGGGAAAGGGAAAAGGGAAAAGGGAAAGGAAAAAGGAGAAAGGAAAAATAGAGAAAGGGAAAAGGGAAAGGGAAAGGGGAAAGAGAAAAGGGAAGGGGGAAGGGGAAAGGGGGAAACGGAAAAGGGAAAAGCAGAAGGGAAAAGGAGAAGGGAAAAGGAGAAGGGAAAGGAAAAGGGAAAAGGGAAAGGAAAAGCGAAAAGGGAAAGGGAAAGGGAAAAGGAAAGGGAAAAGGAGAAGGGAAAGGGAAAGGGAAAGGAGAAGAGAAAGGGAAAAGGAAGAGGGAAAAAGAAAAGGGAAAAGGAAGAGGAACGGAAGAAAAGAAACACGCAGGGCTGCAGCACACTAAGGTTAATGAGAGTGACTAAAGGCAACTTGTTTTTCAACGTGCGTTCTGACCGTCCTGGGCGCCTGTCCTGGAGGCAGGGTTTGCACCCCCATCACGTGTGCTTGGCCTACACCAAGGGGCACGGGGAGCACCCTGGGCACCCCGAGGCTCCGCCAGCACCGCGGGGAGCTCGGCCGCGCGCGGGCCCGGAGCTGCGCGCAGAGCCGCGATGCTCCTCGCACCCGCGGCTCTGAGCACAGACAGGCTGCAAATCCCGCTCTGCACCCACGGGCGAGCAGCGCCCGCGCTGCTGCCGCGCTCCCGCGAGGACACAGTGCCACCGTGCGGAGGCACCTCCTGCAGGGACCGGGACAGCCGCGAGCGGCGGAGCCGCCACAGCAGCCTCCGCGCCGCTCATCACCCGGCGCTCAAAGCACAAGCACTTGGGCGCTGCGCCGGCCCGCAGCCCCCTGGAATTTAATGTGCTGAGACCCACGCAGGCTTGATTTCTGCTGAATCTTCATAATCACCTATCGGGTGTCAGGGCGGCTGCTGCAGATGCAGTGATGGAGCTGCTGAAGTGCAGCTGCTGCCACTCACTCCGGTGAAAAATGAAACGCCGCAGGTGTCAAGGCACCCGCCAGGCTCGGAGAGCTCCCCAGAAAAGCAGGATGAAAGAATAACCCTTCTCCCCTGAGGCCAGGGCAGCACACAGAGCGGGGCAAACTGCCCCAAACGAAGCAGGACTCTGGCCCGGGACGTATTGCAGCCTGTCACCTCCTGAAGACCCTCAGAGCCTGGCCCAGGGCGGGCTGGCAAAGATCTGCTGAGAGACTGAATGTCAGCGCTGAAAGCTCAGGCTCAGTCCCCACCGCATAATTCTGAAAACAAACAGCAGGTGAACACCAGCAGAAGTCGGCTCTTCGTACACCGCGAAGGTTATTTAAACACAGCCTGGAGACCTATTATTCAATAAGGACTGTAATTAGCTTGCAAATTAATCTCAACGCATCTCTTGATGGCAGAGTGGGAAATAAGCTTCCTTGGATTTTGTTTTTTAAGTGGTGATGCTGCTGACAGATGAATAGCTGGCATCCAGATTTAAAAAAATAGCAATTAATTTTTAAAAAGTGTTCATATTCCCTGATCTCTACTATGAACTGAGGCAGAGGGGTCCAAGATAAAGTCCCCTGAAGAAGCCAGGAAAAAACGGGGGAAATAGCAAGTGCTAGAAAGCGAAGTCAGTCACTTCTAACTATGCAGCTATGTCTGCATTTCAGAGCGGGCCTGACAAACCCACTGAAGAGATGGCAATTCTTTCCATTTATTTCAATAGGCTTTGGGCCACGTCTCGGATGCAGCAATCTCTCATTTTTATTTCCATTACCAAAACATTTATGAACTCCAGTGTAAGCGCTGTTCTCTTCATTCAAACAGACTGGCATTTCATTCCAGCAATCACACAAAAATAAACGAAACATTCTCATTACTATTGACAATAAAACAAGATTCATCCCGCTCAGCCTCCTTTAACAGTTTTTCAGATTTAACTCCTGGCATAAACTTAATGAACAAAACCTGCAGCAAAGCAGCCTGCACCAGGCAGCACATTCTAATCTGAAATTACATCTCCTGCTCTAATGTGAAAACCCCAAAGCACCTTTGTTGAAAAAAACACATCTCCCCGACATGCAGCTCAGCTCTCGCCGTACATATTCAACAGTGGGAATTCTTCAGTCTGGTTTAATCAGGGGAGCATGCTCTGGGCTGGCATGAGCACCTGAGCTCCCATCACCTCAGGCTGCTGTTCAGGCTGACCTCTCCATGCTGCAAATCATAGAATCATAGAATGCTTAAGGTTGGAAGGGACCTCTAGAGACCATCTAGTTCAACCCCCCTGCTCCAGCAGGGACACCCAGAGCACGTGGCACAGGGTGGCATCCAGGCGGGTTTGGAAGATCTCCAGAGAAGGAGACTCCACAGCCTCTCTGGGCAGCCTGTGCCAGGGCTCTGTCACCCTCACTGTCAAGAAATTTTTGCTTAAGTTCCTGTGGAACTTTTGATGCTTCAGTTTCCGGTCATTTCCTGTAGTTCTGTGCTCCCAAACACGTTCCAGTTATGGCAGCAGGAGAAGCAGAGCCTCAATGCTGTGCACATCCTGGGTGGAGAAACGTGCCCATTCCCTGCCATGCTCAACAACCAAGATTCAGAGGTAGGGTGTTCTGTTTGAACCAGGCATCACTAGCTGAGACGTGAAACCTCAACCGAAATCCACACTCTACAGTTCATTTCTTACCTTCAACAGCCCCTTAGGGAAGTCTTTACCATCATTCATCCCCTGGAGATTAGCAATGAACTCCTGACAGGTCATTTTCTTCCCAATGTTCTGAAAGGGACGACAGAGAAACACAGCATCATATTCATGTTGCTTTCCAAAATGACATCAGCAAGCAACGCCACACGAATTGCATCTCCTCGCCTTTCCTCAAGTCCGAGGCAGACAAGCCTGAGAAGGCATTCCCAGAATTAATCAAATGCAAGCATCCTCACACGAATATGTTTGGAACCCAGGAGATGCCCTTGGACCCCATGTCCCACACCCATCTGAAAAAAAAAAAAACAGATTTAAATGCTGGAGATCAGGGAAGAAGATGGTGATGAAGCCCCCTCATTTGTTCATGGTACCTTCCATGTCCTCAGGGGCTCTACCAACCCCTGGCAGAAGAGCTCTGCTTGACCCTGTTGTGGAGCATATGAAAATGACCAACTGAGGCCCTTTCCAGACCTTTCTTTATGATCTCCAACCCTCATTTCCCATGGCAACTGCCACGCAAAAGCAAAATACCCAAGAGCAGCCAATGCATTTTCTGCTTCCCAGGGTTGAAGCTGCCTTGACATTTCAAAAAGGTTTCTTTTCTTCTCCTCACTTTCTGCTTAATTCTCAGACTGGAGCTTACCAGACTGGGCCATGACCAGAAAGGGAATGACTGTGTTCAAGCACAACCCAAACCCCTCCATTTGGAGAGCGCTCTCAGCTGCTCTTTGGATCCAAGTCAGCTTCACCCCCTGGAGAAGGTGTCAGTCCTCAGTCCTCATGGCACCCTGGGCACAGCTGCCCATGGAGATGACAGCAACGACCACGCTGGGCCAGCAGGAGGAGGAATCAAGGGAGATCTGAGAGGGAAACTGCGCTTCCAGGTCTGACTAGCGCTGGCCAGAGGTGACCTACTGCACTGCAAGCACCTCCTGCAGCACCGTGTCCTCATGGGCTCCGTCCGCCCTAGGGAATGTGCTGCAGGGTACCTGCCTGGTCCCCCTCTGCAAAGTGCTCTGCTGGCCCTGCCCCTGAGGAAGAAGCCTCCTTCCCAGTAGAATCCCGGTAATCCCAGGGCTCCTATGCAGCCTGAAGCTGCTCTCGCAGAATTGCAGACGCTCTCCCTGTGGCTGCTTCAGCCTGTAGCTGTCCATTTCCTCCAGCTTGGTGTTTCCTCACTCTGACCAGAACCAGGAGCAAGAACCAGCCTCATTTCACCGACTAAGCCCTGCTGGGAAAACGAGCAGGGCAGTGGAATGGCTGTGTTGCTCCTGGACCAAAGCTAACACCTCCACATGGTCCTACACAGGTTCAGGCAGATGCACCCGGCAGGATGCAGCTGTGCTAAAAATCTAGGAAACTGTAGACATGACATGGCATCTGGTCATCACCTGGCCAGCAGAGCAGCGAGCATGCATCTCCAATGCACGGTTAGTGAAAGTTAATCATGAAAGCAGACAGAGAGAAAAAGAAGATACGGAAAAACAGTTAGAGAGATGTAGTTACAAAGAGAATGAAATGCAGCAAGACATGAACAAATAAAGAGGTAAGTGAAGAGCTTGTCTACAAGAGTTAAGGAAAGTGTGAACTGAAGGCACTGCCGCTGTCCTACAGCCCTATGATCAGCGGAGCTGACTCTGAAATAAAACTGTCCACACTCAGCTGGGAACAGGAAGAACTCAATGTAGACAAGCCCTAAGAGTGGTTTGTTTCCTGCTCTAGCAGATCATGCTAAGGGACGGGCTGGAGCACTGTAAGCTTATTAGAAAACAAGCAATCAGGGTATATGCGCAAGGGGCTGCATTCCGAGTCAGAAACGCCCAACTTACCACCTGTGTGCAAAAATGCAGAGCAACAAGAGGAGAAATGAGTATTACAGGGAATCCCGGGAAGAGAGGAAGAAGAGGCACACAGCCGGCAGGCATTGCTGCAGCCCACACTGCACCCTGGCCTGGCGTCCAGGCGGCCTTGGAACATCTCCAGGGAAGGAGGCTCCACAGCCTCTCTGGGCAGCCTGTGCCAGGGCTAACGTATCAACAGGCACAGGAGGGCACGTTCCCATAGCTCCCTATCCCATGCGACCGGAGCGGTCAGGAAGGCCTCGGTGCTCACAGGAACACAGCACTGCACAACTGCTCCTCGTGCAGCCTCCAGGCAGGGGGTGGGAGTCAGACCCTCGAGGGGAGCACGGAGGACTCCTGCTTTCATTGCCCTCACTTGCTGCAGAGCTGCATCCACACAGCACCCACAGGGTCCCAGGAGGGCACGATAGGGCCAGGGCCTCTCCGAGGCTCCGTGTGCTGCTTCGGACCCACTGTTTGTGCTCATGATGTCCATGGACCCTGCTCTCTTGTGGCATTCCCACCAGAGCTGGCTATGTGGGACACGGAAGTGATGTTGGGGCATCAGCATGAGATTGAGAGGGGATCTGATCAGTGTGCACAAGTACCTGAGGGGAGGATGTAGGGAGGATGGGGCCAAACTCTTCCCGGTAGTGACCAGTGTCAGGACAAGGGCTAATGGGTGTAACAGGAAGTTCCACCTCCATGTGAGGAAGAACTTCTTTCCTGTGAGGGTGACAGAGCCCTGGCACAGGCTGCCCAGAGAGGCTGTGGAGTCTCCTTCTCTGGAGATCTTCCAAACCCGCCTGGATGCCACCCTGTGCCCCGTGCTCTGGGTGTCCCTGCTGGAGCAGGGGGTTGGACTAGATGATCTCCAGAGGTCCCTGCCAACCGCAACCACTCTGTTGCGGCCACGGCCTGAGCGCACGGGACATCACGTTGGCCCAAGCAGCACACTGGCTCGCCTGCTGCTCGCCCCTACGAATGGCTGCCTGCAAACATCGCTTCCCTGCATGACTTTGCCAGGTGGCTTCTGCCTTCCCACATGCTTGTACATTCTGGAGAGGGGAATTTCCCCCCTGCAGCTTTCTTGCAGCGCCAGCCGCCTTTGTCAGGAAAGGGAGAGATGCACCCCAGAAAGAAAGGGCCTGGGGACAAGCAGCTTCCTCACCCACAAGGGCGAGAGCGTGTGCAGCTCTGGACACAGCTGCTCCTGGGTGTGCTGGAAAGCCTCTTCCCTAGCACTGCCGTTTTTGCTCTTCCAAGAAGAGATTTTCCATTTCTCTTGTCCTTTTGCTGTCTGCACTGGGAATTTTCGGGGTGCTTCAGTGATAGGCAGCAAAGGGGCCCTACCAGCACAAAGCTGACTTTGGGACAGTTTACACAGAGATGTGTCTACTCACATGGCCATGCAGGTCAGTGTTCAGCAGCATCATGGCACACGTGAGGCAGTGAACCCCATCTGCAGGAAGAGACATAACCCACGTCACAGGCAAACCCACGACTTTACCGGACTTGTAAGAAGAGTGCAAACCAAGCCACGCAGCCTAATCAAGCCTGTTCCCTTAATGAGAATCTGTTCATCAAGAAATAAACATAATCAAGTAAATCAACAGCAAGGTCATCCCATAGCTGCCAAGGCAGAACAGCCTTCCTTTTAACTCTTAATCACTGACAAAACTATGGTGCAGCAGCCGTGAAGGGGGCAGACCAGACAGCAGAGCGTTCTGCCTCCCTTCCCTTGACAGTACCAATACCACAGCCTCAACTGTCTCCCTCCTTCTCATTTGTTTTCAGGACACTAAAAATAAGCTACCTCCATTCGTGTTTCAGTCTGCAGAGACACAAACAATCAGAGGATGGTCTGCCCCACCAGCAAACCCTGTATAATGACCACACACATTGTCCCTCTGTGCTACAAAACAAAAAGAGGCATGAGGATGTGGGGTTGAGACAGGCACCGACATGATACGTTTTAAAGTCAAGCTTGAATCTGCGCAAGCCCTTGCCACAGCTTGCAAAAGCTTGGGACCAAGCTCAGGACTATGTTTTCTTACGTTGTCTGCACAGGTCCTACCCCCCAAGGAACATCCCAGCAGTCTAGCAAAGTGCTGCTCCTCCTATTTAATGCTGCCACCACATGTGGTAAATTCAGAGCAGCTTGAATCTGGGGCTGTGGTACCCTGGTTCAGGTGCTGGCACGTCTGTAGGGTAGGCTGCTCTCTCATTCCCAAATCACAGGCACATCCAAAGGATGGAAACGAGAATGGAGGAAAGAGGGAGAAGAAAGCAAGCATCAGGGCACTCAAATGGCTACTGCAAATCTTCATTTCTACTGAAATGAGCAAGTCTCTCACCTCTGCCGTGGAGCACCTGACTAGTGACTAGGGGAAATGCAACATCAGAAATACCTAAAACGCCCAGGCAAGGTCTGCAAGGCAAGGTACTGCAAGGTCCCAATACCTGCTCACACTCTGAAGCGAGAATGTCCCTATAGCAACCTGGACTAGCCACACTGACACCCAAATCATTATTTCTACCTGAAAATGACAGAGCTTTTCTAATTACTTGCTTGGGATATCCTCGAATAAGAGAGGGAATCCTCGAATGGGAAGAGCAGAAGAGTGTGGGAGCTGATCTTGTCTTAGAGCTGCCCGTTCCCTTCCTTGACACCCTGACCAGAGAGGCCGGGCAGGGCTCAGGGTGGGCAAATTTCACCCCCTGTCAGTGGGCAAACTGCACGCAAGGAGCCAGGATGCTGACAACACTCCAAAGCACACAGCTACGTGCTGCTCCTCCTCACTTCAGACCAAGGGGACAAACGCGCCTACGCATTTTCCCTTCCCTTCCCTCCTCCCGTTCTGGGCTCCCAGTGGCCTGCGTTGAGCCCCGGCGCAGGGATTACGGGCTCAGGTTTCCCCTGGCACAGCAGGACAACGTGTCCCCGCCGGCAGCGCCCGTTTTCCGTGTTTGTTTCCACAGTCGGGTTTCCAGAATGATGGAAAATGCGGGCAGGGAGGCGATGCTCGGGCTGGCGCCAGCGTGCGGGGACGGAACCGCGCCAGGGCCTGTGCACGGCACCCAAAATTCACCCCCAGAGCTGGCAGGAGCGGCTGGAGCAGAGGCACCCCCACGTGCACGGCCAGCGAGACCAAAGCCGCGACAGGGAAGTCTCCAGGTTTAAATCTGGAGATGTTTAAGCTAAGGATTTGCACTGGAGAGGCCTAAATGTCTTCCGTGACTGGGGAGCAACACAGGTTTTCTCTGCCTTATGTAAAACGGAGAGCATTTCTAAGCTCACCACAGGCAATCTCTGCACTTTGGTGCAGCAACTACAAAACTTCAGCTGCCAGATACTAGGGGTGAAAACAAACGAAGAGGCAGACCACAGACCTTTCTATCAGAAGCAAAATTACCTTGAGTCGAAATGGTGGTTGGGTTACACTGATAGTATCTGCTGGAGAAGTGGATTAAAACTCTCTCTCGTTCCTGAGTTTCTCCGATAAGTGAAAAGGCTTTAAAGAAACTCCTACAAGGGCAGAAAACAGAGAAATTAAAATCATAAATCTCTGGTGGCCTCACACAGCACACACAGCATAGCACATTTCACAGCAAGTAGTACGCAAGTGCACACCAGAAATTCAGTTCTGAGAAGCCTTTCTAGGAAAACAGATTACTACCCCATGTGTACTTAATTCCAACGTTACAGTAAATCAGCCAGGAGGGGTTAGATTGCTGCTGGTTTCAGCCTTTAAATATATAAGCTAATAAACAATTACACTGTTTGAAACAGTTGTTCTTGTTTTCAGTGGTTCTCATGCTGGGGGAAGGAATTGGAGCAGGTGGTGTTTACAGATGATGCTCTTTCGGGATGCTCTCTGTCCCCTTCTAACTGCCCATCAGTCCGGCACGCTTTAACGTTACACTTAGTAAGTACATTCCCACTGAAAGGGAGCAGAAGAATCACCACTCATCCCGTGCTCTTGCTGTCACATCTTGGCCTCCTTGCCTCTCCCACCAGCAGGGCCTACAGCTTAGGCTCAGTCCTCGTGATAAACTTCTGTACTTCTTCGAATCCCCAAATCCCGCAGCCAAGAGGTGACCTGACATTTATTTTTTCACGTTGTTGATATAAAAAGCCTACAAACACAAACCTTATGGGTCTGAAGCAACAAAGCACATGAAAGGAATGCCTGGTAGACAGTTTCTGAGTCTCTCACGAGACTTAAGCTGGCAGCAGATTCGAGGGGCCTCAGAGACATTACAGGAACATTCAAGGTTATCTAACCTGCATGAGTAAGCGCTGATTTTATTTCTCTGATGCAAGCCCAGAGACAGGCTGTACTTGCCACAATATCACACACAAACAGAGTGTGATCTGATGGGTAATAACTTAATTTGACACGTAACACATTGCAAATAACCCAATTCACACGTGGAGACAACCGAGACCTCCCGGGGCTCCTCATGGGGAGGAGGACGGGGAGAGGCTCCGGAGGGGCCTTTGGGCAGGATCCAGGAGGATCTGGGGAGGATCCAGGAACGACTCCGTGGTGGAACACACCGCACCCCGTGACCACGGCCGCAGGGAGGCTACATGAGGTAAAAGTGGGGCAGAACACCCTGGGCAGCTGTGGCCGAGGCCAGTCCGGGGGCTCCCCCAGTTTGTCTGGCAGGGGGCAACGCACGAGACCCCAGCGAGTGCCCGCGGGCCCTCGAGAGCGTGTGGTACAGAAGGTCATGACTATTAATACTAACAGGAGATCTACCGGGAGAAGAGACCTCCTAAATATGTGCCACAAAGCAGCTAGGTGTAGGATATCACAATTTAAAAGATGAGGTATATTTAGAATCAAGCCTCAGGGCTCCTAGCACCCAAAACATGCAGCAAATTTCCCCCACAGAGGCCACGAGCCCACCGGGACACAGGGCTCTGGCTTTGCTCCATGTAGCATTCGGTGCTGGATTAACTCCTTAGCAGTCTTGGGCAGCAGGACTCTGCTTTGCTGTGCAAAGACAGGGGCTGATTTTCACCTCGGCTTCCAGGAACAGCTCTCCTGCACCCAGCTGTGCAAATGGGGTCATTAGTTTTCCTGGGTCTGTGTCACTGGTGGCAGGGAGTGAGGAAGAAATAGAGCAACCTGAGCCAGATAATCTAAAATTATTTTAAATCCCTCTGCTTTATGTCACCATTTAACTGTCACCAGCAACAAACAGGCCTCTGCTACATGGGTTTGGTATTTTGACTTAGTCTTGACTGCGAGATTTAAAAAAATATTGAAATCAAGTGCTGCAGAGGCTTAGTTCCAGGGTTAGAAGGACACGAGTGCTGCAGGGATGGGCTTTCCACCACCCACGTAAGCATCTACCAAGCACTCCGAGCATTTCCCCTTTGGAAGCTCTTGCTGTTCTGCACAGTTTTAGACACCTCTGAGGGACATGGCTGCCAAGCTGCTTGCAATGCTCATGCACAAGGGGTAGCCGGGCAGAGCAAACTCCGCAAGGCACCAGCCCAGAGGGCCCTATGGAGCCCAGCCATGAACGGCACCTTCGTGTTTCAGGCAGGTTACCGATTACCTGTTCACAGAGCGCACAACCTCTCTCTGGGCAGGCCAACTCCAGGAAATGCAATCCCTCCATTGGGCCATGCCAACATGCTAAGACGAATAGGAGAGGAGAGCTCCATTGCAGAGCGCTCCATGTTTCCCTCTTCTCCCTCAAAAGCCCTCATGGTGCAAGTTCTTCATTTGAGGAACACAGGAAATAACACCGTCGCTAAAGCAGGAGCACGAGCTTTGCCACGCACCTCAGTGAGTTGTCCAACGTCATCCCTGTGAAATCGAAGAACTTTAGGTATTCTTCAGCCACCAGCTTGCTGAACTCGTTGCTTTGGAAAGAAATCAACAAGGCCTGTCAACCACGAGTGAACTCTCCGCCGCCAACGCTGCGAACGGGAGGGCAAACCCCTCGTTTCGACACGTACTTTTTGCCCAGATGCTTGGCCACGTCGGAGCGTTTGAACCTGTCCAGGTGGTAGAGGCGCCT